AGCCCGCCTCCGTCCGTTCCACGCGCCCCTTTGTTTTATTTGCGCTGCTGCGAATTCTGCGGGTTCTGAATGAGGTTAATGGTAGCCTCTCCCTCCAGGCTTAAGGCTGGACGCGTAAAAGCGCTGTTGGCTGGCTGGGAATGACGGGGTTGGAAGTCCGATCCCCTGGAGCAGTGTTTCTCAACCTTGAGACTTTAAGTCCTGTGGACTTAAACTCCCAGAATCCCCCAGCCAGCTACGCTGGCTGGGGAATTCTGGGAGTTGAAGTCCACAGGACTTAAAGTCTCCAAGGTTGAGAAACACTGCCCTGGAGACTCCAGCCCGGCCTCAGACCAGCTGCCACACCCTCTTTCCGCACCCCCGATGCGACCCTGCTTGCGGCGGTAGCCTTGACCCTGTGCCCGTACGGGTCGGCCGTGCATTCAGACGAGACCCCGGATGCGTGTCTAGGGGGGTGTTGCGTGCAGATGCATCCCAGGCATGCATTCGGGGTCTCGTCTGAACGCCGTGCGGCCGCAGGGTCAATAACGGTCGGCTAAGTGGCATCCAAGAGGGCTGCAGGCCGGGTGATGAGCTTTCAGCCGCTGACGTCCTTGGTTGCTTTGCACCTGCAAAGGGAGTGGAGGGGTGTGAAATTTCAAAAACTGCCGGTGCCTTTTGCATCTGGCTGAAATGAGAGGCTTCCCTCCAATGGGGAATGTTACGCAGTTATTAAAGTCTCTGCTGATAAAGAAGATAACAAGCAGAATATTTCCTTTAACTATACAAAAAATATTTCCTGCTTTCTCGTGGTCATAAAATCATATTTCACTCACACCAAAGGCTAAAAAAGGTATATAAATCTCGCTGATGTCAGCTGTCCTAGAAACAAGCTTTGAATAATTTTAGACCCGAATAACAGAGAGAAACTTCTTTCCAATCAGCTGCCTTTTGTGTTTTCTTTCCTTGGAACCCAGGAAATTCTCCCAACAGAATGTGACAAGTCCATGCAGCTTTTAGCACATCCCCCCTGCGTGCCTTCCCTCTTGCTCTCCCAGCCTTCTTTGGACCCTCAGGAGCAAGGAGCATTTTTATATTTCCTGGGGGGGGGGTATATTTCCTCCCCACCCACCCCCAATAAATGGAAATCCACCTTCATGGCCACATTTGGAATTGGGGGAAGAGAAGGAGGAATGGCGAAGCTTAGCCAGAGGTAAATGAGGGAACTGTAACTTCTCTTCCAATAAATGTGTTTGTTAAATGCAGTAAGTCAAGAACAGAACTGTTCCTGCGCAGATCAATTAATATTGGGAATATAATTTCAGGTGCAGCAGCCCGACTTTTAGAATTTCTTCACTTCCTAAAGTGAGCAAGCGGCTTCTTGGCATGTAGTGGGATCCAAAGGGGAGGCGGGGGGTCCCTGCTTTTGAGGAAAGAAGGAATAGACCGTCTGCCTTGTGGGGGCGGGAGGCTGGCAGAGAAGCCCCCCTCCCTCCAATTGCACAGGCCAAGGGCTGCCCAGGTGCCCATCGCCCCTGTTTGGAGAAGAGCGCCAGCGGCTGGGAACGAAGCAAGCCCTCCAGGCTGGCAGGCGGGGCCGAGCAGGGGCGACCCAGCAGCCTTTCTCGGCCCGCCCCTTCCAGCTGGCCTGTGCGGAAGCGGGAGCCGGCGGAGGGAAGAGCATGGCGGAGCAAGAGCCCGAGCCTCTGCGCCTGAAGCGGCTGCACGGCGGCTTCTTCGCGGTGCCTGCCGCACACCGGGTGAGCGGACTCCGACTGCCAAGGCGCCCTTCGCGCTCCCCCGCTCAGCCCTCCTGCGCAGCGGCCGGCCGGGCTGGGATGCGTAGTCCGCGCTCACCTGCCGGGCGCCGGTGCTGAATCTGGGCAGGAGCTGCTCCCCCAGCCCACCCCGACACGCGCGCATCGGCCGCTTCCCTCTCCCACCCAGCCCCGCTCCCAAGCCGCAGAAACGGCCTTCTCACCAGCTCTCCTTTCAGCTGGGAAGATGCCGGAGCGTCAAGGAGTTCGAGAAGCTGAACCGGATCGGAGAAGGGACCTACGGCATCGTGTGTGAGTCCCGCCTGGGGCTGGGGAGGGTTTGGGACAGGAGCCGCCCTGGCTGACCCGCTTGACCAGGCTTCAGAAGCTCCCCGCTGCCGCCCGTTGCTCCAGGGAAGGAGCCCTTCCTGCCTTGGGAAACGCAACCGCGGGGGAGGCTGGCAGAGCCACCTAAATACTACTAGGCGGCTTGTGCAGGGGGGATGGCCGCCCCAGGGCTTCCTTTGTGGAATGGGCTTGGGGGGAGCAGGGGGAGAGGGGGGAGGGCTGGGGCTTCCCCAGACCTTTGCCTGCCCCGCTGTTTTAGATCGTGCCCGAGATACGCAGACGGGGGAGATTGTGGCTCTGAAGAAAGTGCGGATGGACAAAGAGAAAGACGGTGAGCAGAGCGGGCTCCTCGCAGGCCCGGCTGGGGGAGTAGCCCCGGCAGCGCCCCTCTTACCCGGGTCCTCCCCCCCACAGGAATCCCCATCAGCAGCCTGAGAGAAATCACTCTGCTGCTGAAGCTCCAGCACCCGAACATCGTGGAGCTGAAGGAGGTGGTGGTGGGCAATCACCTGGAGAGGTAATTCCCTGGGCAGGTGGACAAAGAGCCTCCTTCCTGAGGGCAGCAGGTCCACGTGATGGGGGGGGGGGAAGTACAAACATTTGCAGAAAGTGAGGACTGGAGGTGGGAGCAAAGGGGGGGGGAGAAGAAAAGGAGGGGTTCAGCCTCTTTGGGGCAGGATTTCTTTCCTGGCTGCAGCTGGAAACGCGCCTGCCTCCCATTCCCCTTGCAGCATTTTCTTGGTGATGGGCTACTGTGAGCAGGACCTGGCCAGCCTCCTCGAGAACATGCAGGTTCCCTTCTCCGAAGCCCAGGTGTGTCCGCAGGGCAGGTACAGCGGCTGTGCTTCGCTTGTGGTGGTTGCCATGCCACCTTGGAGAGGCCAAAGGGTCCAGGGGGGAGTGGGGGAGAAGGCTTTCATCCCAAATAGCTGTCCCAACTTTTAGATGAACTGGGACCAAAGGGCAGAGGGGAGGGGTGTTCTGCAGCGTAAGCAAGGCATTAATAACAGGGTGTTGCCTGGTATACTGGCGAGAGCTTTCAAAATGGAGATAAAATACAGAAACAATTACAGAATAATTCCAACTAAAAACAACAGTGGGGCAAGGATCTGAAAAGGACATTTTGACAATTCACTTGATGCCCCAAAGACTACAATGCAGGGCAGCCTCTGGGGAGGGAGGGAGGGAGGGAGGGGTGTCAAGGCTCAGCCTGGCAAATTGACATGTGACCCACTTTGTCCCAATGGGCCTAGTTTGTTCACGCTTTGCAAAACATGGTTTGCTTTGTGCCGGACAGGGTGACTGGCACAAATGCGATGCGTGTGCAGTTTCAAACAAAGGAGCCATCATTTTAGCACCTCCTTCTGGATCTTGAGTGTAGAATGGCATCCAGCACAGGACGGGGGTGGGTGGGGGGCCCTCTCGCGACCCTCCTTTGTTTGCCTGCCTGCAGGTGAAGTGCATCGTTCTCCAGGTTCTCCACGGTCTTCAGTATCTGCACAACAACTTCATCATCCACAGGTGAGGAGGGCAGGGATGGGTCAAGCAGGGAATGGGCGCTGGCGCTGGGCATGCCCACCCCCAGCCTTCTACATACCTGCGTTTTGTCAACTAACAGGGACCTCAAGGTGTCCAACTTGCTCATGACTGACAAAGGTTGCGTGAAGACAGGTGAGCCTTTGGCAATAGCATCTCAGGTGCTCAGCTCGGCTGCTGCAGATGTAACACAGCAAGGCCCCCCCTCCCCCCCGACCCCTCTTCTCTTGCAGCGGACTTTGGGCTGGCTCGTGCCTACAGGGTCCCCCTGAATCCCATGACTCCAAAAGTGGTGACATTGTGGTGAGTTGGCTGGACACCCCCTCCCCCCTCATAGACCCCCTTCGATACAAGCGGGCCGGGCACTGGGCCACTCTGAGCACCCTCCCACTTCCCTTCCCCTTGCAGGTACCGGGCCCCTGAGCTCCTCTTGGGCACAACCACGCAGACCACGGCCATCGATATGTGGTGAGGACGAAAGCAGTGGGTGGGCTCCAGCTGGGGAGGAGGGGCAGGCTCTTTTCTGCAGGGTTGCGTTGCAAGAGTCTGAAGGAGCAGAGTCTGCCGGGGGTGGGTGGGAGGTGTTGGGTTGCTGGGCGGTGGTCTCACCACCAACTCTGCGTCTGTCCTGCAGGGCGGTGGGCTGCATCTTGGCGGAATTGCTGGCCCATAAGCCTCTGCTGCCTGGGAGCTCCGAGATACAGCAGGTTGACCTGATTGTGCAGCTGCTGGGCACCCCAAACGAGACCATCTGGCCCGTGAGTCCTTCCGCCCTTTGGGGGCTCCGCTGGGGGCCCTGAAAGCCACAATCCCCACTGCGCTTTCTTTGGCTCTGCCGCCTGAGCAGGCTGGCTGGGGAGCTCTGGGGGTTGAGCTGCAGGCAGCAGCCAAGTATTTCCTTGTGGGTCCCTCCATCCCCCCACCCCCGCCTTCCCAGGGTTTCTCCAAGCTGCCCCTGGTGAGCCAATACACCCTCCGCAAGCAGCCTTACAACAACCTGAAGCACAAGTTCGCCTGGCTGTCGGAGGCCGGCCTTCGTCTCCTGAACCTGCTCTTCATGTATGATCCCAATAAAAGGTAAGAATCCCTCGGGGGGGGGGAGCACTGCCCCTCCCTCCCGGCAGACTCCTGGCCATCCAGTTAAGCCGAGAAGCTTCCACAGGAGCTGCCCCACAGGGAGGCGGCCATTGTTGGTTTCTTAGAAGGGGGCTGATGGGTAAAGGTGTAGGGGGGGCGGGAGAGAAGGGACATGCCCTTCACTGCCACGTCTCCTCCACAGAGCCACGGCCGGAGACTGCTTGGAGAGCTCTTACTTCAAGGAGAAGCCGTGGCGTAAGTGCCCCCCCCCCCCAGGGTCCCTTTCACGCAGGGTGGGGCCACCCCATTCTCCAGGGCCTGATCCCTCTTGCCTCTCCTTCCTTCCTTCCAGCCTGTGAACCGGAGCTGATGCCAACTTTCCCCCATCATCGCAACAAGAGGGCCGCCCCGAGCACAGGAGGGGAGTGCCTGGGCAAACGTCACCGGCCGTGAGACGGCAGCTTCGGAGGGCGCCTGAAAGGTAGGGCAGGCCCTTGGAAGAACGGCGGGCGGGGAGCCGGTTTTTGCACTCGTGGCATTTTCTATTTTCTATAGGTGGTTCTATTAAAAAAAAACCCTTCTTCTGTCGGTCAAATCTGCACACAGATTCTGCATTTCCTTAGACGGCCCGTTCTGTTTCCTCTCCCTTCCCAAGACCAAAAGAACCAGGAATGATGCCCTTTTGAAAAAAGGTGGTGGTGGTGGTGGTGGATATGTGTGCCCCCCCCCCCCCGGGCAAT